TGTAAGTTACATAATAATAAACGGTACAATTGCAATAAGGAAATCAAACTATAGAACTGCCCAATGTAAGTGACATATAAGAAACGGTAGAATTGCAATAAGGAAATCAAACTATAGAACTGCCCAATGTAAGTGACATATAATAAACGGTAGGATTTCGTTGAGGAAATCAAAGCACACAACTGTCCACTGTAAGCGAAATATAATAAACGAACAATGTATGTCTGATCAATCAGCTTATGTTTATCAATGTCACATATTGTTTTGATCTTCACAATGTTTGTAAACTCGTTTCTTCTTAATTCAAGGTAGATAATTGACAAGCATTCTTTATTACATAGACTACTATTAATTTCATAAGATCCTATTCGTGCCTTGTTTCTTTGATACGCACAAATTATAAAATATTGCTGTTAATTTTCATATTGCCAATGACATTTGCCAAGATACACAATAGAAGTGGCTTTTGAGTATAAGAGAGACAATAGTTTTGGTGGGATTTGGATGAAACGAAGTACATGTATACTTAAGTACATTGATGCAATCTCAGATAAGTTCGATTTTCACGATTTTTGGTGAACAATACAATTTCGATTAAAATGAAATTATTTTCCTAACCTTACCGATGAAAATACTTTTAGGCACTGTACATTGGTTAGCATCTGCGTCTATTCCAGCCTCGGATAGATATTTTGACAGTTATGGACTGAAGTCAGAAAACAACCCTATGTTTAATGGGGATTTTCCACACCTCCGAATATGTGTTATTTCCATTATGATATTTGATTTCCTTTACGATGACTAAATTAGTGTTGGGCATCATCGTAACTTTCGTTTTGTTAGTACCACATGACTTTGTGACCCTAGACCTTTTGGTTTATGCAGTTTTTTTAGTAAGTTAAATTGTTAAAGGGATACTACGTCTTAGAAAAAGTATAAAATTTAAAAATTTAAACTTGGCCAATAAGAGCATTTTATTCATTAGTAGATATACCTGGTGTCATAAATAACATAACAGGATCCTTATATAATCTGATAAATCTAAAAAACTTAATAAAAATACAATAATATTATGATTAAGCGTTTTTTCAATAATTACTTAGCTTTATGAATTTTCCAATTTTCTAGATTTTACAGGGATTCTGTTGTAACTTTATGACACCAGGTAAGTTCACTAATGAACATATACTCATATTGACCATTCTTGAGAATTAAATTTTATGTTCATTCAAAGACGTAGTATCCCTTTAAAGAGATAACTTTTCAAAAAGTCAAAACAACCATTGAATTCGCTCAGTTTTCTGTTTGCGTGCAATGATGATAAACCTATACTCTATCACTAATTAGATAAAAGAAGTTATGATTTAACTCAATAATTACTGGTACTAATATAACTTATTGATATCAAAAAGCTATCTATAAGATGGGCACGATTAAATCTTTTTTGAGTTAACAAGCTAATGTCGGAGGACGAACAGAGACGTCCGCATTTTAATGGGGGTCTAAACAATTATGTCATATTTTTCTTCTAAACCCGTGGGCTATATTAAAACAAAGGCGAAACATATAAAACATATACAAACAATGACAAGAATACAATATACTTTGTTAGAATCAAAGCGTCTATAACAAGTAAAAACCATCAACATTCGAAAACTATAATAAATTTTCCCAAGAGACATTCTTTTGATGCATTGAAAATTGGTTTGAACCTAAAAACACCAAGCTATAAATTCCAGCTCTACTTTTGCTAATTTCGGCAAAAGGTCGTTCTAGCTGATAGTGTATGCATGTAATATTAAAGTTTTGGTACAATGTAACCTAAAGGGGGGTTATAAAATAGTTGTTCTACAGGAACTATCCAGCCTTTTGTGTTACATCAATACACTTTTTGGTTTTATTTGCACCCTTCGATTTCCAAAGCGAGCCTGTAATTAGTTTTTGTGATATTAACTATTATTATCAGATCATATTTTTAAGGAACTAAATAATCACAGAGGGACGACGGGGATTCAGAATGGTGTAAATAGAAGATACAAGGCTCTTCGTAAGATGATTTAATTTAATTCGAAATCTTGTTACTAGCCCTGTGAAACCGGCAAAGAGTCCTTAGTGCTCTCCTACGACGACGAAAAATAAGCTCAGAGCATGTTTAAGTCGCTAGAAGAGTTACATTAGCGCGTAGGAAGCATCATATATCGTTCGGTAGGTGCTAGTGTCGCCAATAATCGCTATTGACACCGAGCCCATTATTAGAAACTTCCATTTGCGATCTTACGGCGACCAAAAATGTACATGTCGCGTTTTCTTCACATTCTCTCCGATAACCATGTACATTTTTGGTCGCCGTAAGATCGCAAATTGTCGCAGTCCGTGTGACGGGGCTATAAAAGAATATCCCATGTTTGTATGCTCTTCATGTGAAACCTGTAATCACAGTGGGAATGAAACATTAATTATAATCTGAACCGAAGTTATTTATTAAAAAAAATATCAGTACATGAACGTAGTGATAATAATAAACTAATGGATATATAAATATTGATTGAACGTCTTTTGAATCAACGTATAGGGATGA